CATGTCTATAAAACTTTGTGTCACAAATATTGTGTGTGCTTTTGAATCTTTGTGCAATGGTTAATATGACAATGATGTGCCAGGGTTCTCTTCCATCTCATAAAAACTAGGTCTAGATTACATTAGACCCATCTTTCATTGAGTAACCGATTTAATTTTTAATGGTTTACAGCAAACTAAAATGGCTGAACATTCATTCAGTATTAACTGGGTAGTTAGGAATTCTAGTTTCTCCATTTTTTTAAAGTTGCTGACATTTAAATGGCCAACAAGATGGTTTGGTGGCAAAACCAAAGGGAGATCTGTAGATCAACACTTTCTGTTCAGCTGATTAAAGCTGTAATCAGGAGTCTAAGTTCAGGGAACCATGTTTTGTTGCAGTTAACCGAACCTTTGTTCACGGATCATGAAGATTGTCTTTTGATGTTTGGCTGGTTTAAGGACATCTTCAAAGCATCAGTACTACTTTTTAACATTCTGACTTATGCATGACCCTTGTTAGATAGAGGATAAGGCTACTCTACCTAACAATTGTTGATGGAACCAGGTAGGCTACTCCAAGAATAAAAGAGAATAGGGAGGTCTATGGCTTGCTTCCTGAAGCAGATCTTCTAGCTTTGTGTGCTGAAATTGAAAAGTAAATGGAACAAACAAAAGACTTGAAAACAGGACTGAAGTAACGTGAAAGAACATCTGTTTGCTGATGAAATCTCTGAATACCTATACCGTATAAATCATATTGATGGTGTCTTCCTTTTCATCTAACGGTGAATCAGACTTCTTAGTCTCTTGTTGCTTTGAAACCATTGAAATCACAACAAAACATATTATTTACGACATGCCTTTTTTCTAAATTTTATGCAATGTTTACTTTGTGTTGATGGCAAAGTTCACTTTAATTTCTTTGCAAATGTTAAATTGTGTTTAAAATGGATCCGATCCAAATTTTATGGTAGGATTCCTAAAAAAGGTGTACACTATTGCCAATACTCCTGTATCCATTGTTGCTCAATAACAGAATTAGTTATCAAGCTCTGTGAATGGCACACAGAATATTTCGTAATATTATACTGAAAACTCCATAAAATTCCTGTATAGCTTATTGATAAATCAGCCAAAAACAATGTACATTCTTTGGTTATTTATGGATATACCAAAGAAATGAATATATTTGATAGCTGCAAAAGGCACATGAATATATACCTGCATCCTGTTGCTGTTTGATCATGCTGTGTCTTCCTGCTTTTCCGAATTCTATCTTGATCTGATTGTTAAGCTTCACAAAAATAAGAAAGGTTAGAATGTGTAATTGATTCTTAAATTATGCTAGCTGTTTGGTGCCACAGTAAGTCAGAAGGTCCATCACATATTGCAAAACCCACACCATGTTTGGTAAAAATGTCCGTTTTATTTTTGTACCACAGAAGAGCTAATGGAATCTGTCTTGGAGTTTCTGCTGCATTGTACTTGAAATTGTACAGCACTTGGTGTAATGTCCAAGTGGTTTTGCATTGCCCATCTGCAATTGATTTGGGTCAATCAGAAATTTGCTGCAATTCTGAAACTCTTGCACAATAACGTTGATTAAATAACAGTTGAATAAGAAGCCATGTGAGTTATACTAGAACTTATACAGTGATTGTCTGAGTTGTTAAATTAAATTGTATATTTTAATAAAACCTTTCCTGTTTGAGCAAATCTTCAGCATGAAAACGTTCTCTTACATGATTTAAGGCATCTTACATGGAATATAAACACAATAAATTTGTAGGGTGGAGATGGAGTATTAAGAGATCAGTCAATCTCTTTTAAAGTTGGACCCTAGATCTAAATTCCAATACTTTAAATAGCTGATCATAGTATTTTTGAGGAAGATCTAATGAATATTCTTGAATAGATCAACACTATTACATGATATATAAATAACTAAATAGAATACAATTCTAATAGATATTTGATAGTTTTTTCCATCAATGTTGAAAAACTTCTTAATGCCTCCTAATCATTAGCAATACTTTACCCAAGACTTTGTCTTTATTCCTGTTCACTTTGGAATGTGTTCAGAAAATTAGAGTTGTCGCATTTTTGTACACATTATTTCAAATTGAATTACTGAACTAAGTGGACCAGTCAGTAAAGATTGGACAACTCTTTTCTACAGTTCATTTAAATATTATCCAGGTAGAATATTTCTTAGTGATCTGCTCTTTGCTAAAGTTCAGCTTTCTTTAATTAGTGCAAATTTAAGAATCATGTTCCCATTAAAATGGTCATATTTACTGGCAATCAAATGCTCTAAGAACGTAAAATCAAACTGAATGATGGAAATAAGCTCACTGAACCCCAAATGCTGCTTTCTTACTTTGTTCCTAAGAGTATTATAATCAGTCAAGCTAAACAGCTTTTATATTAGCTACCTTGATAGTTCTTTTAATATAAATATGTCTGTAACCTTCATGTAGGATGTGAACTATATTCCCATCATAGTGAGGACTGGTTACAATTAAAAACAAAAAGGAAACTTTACCAATCCCCCATACTGTCCTGTTGACTATAGCCAGTGAAGGTTCCTCTGAGAAACATTAGAAAATTAGTGCAGTGCCCCTCTGTGCGGACAAAATTTCCAATGAAGTCGGAGGACTGGATTATAAAATGACCACCTGCTATTGGCAGCTTTTGTCTATCCTTGTTCTCTTTCTCTAATATTTAAAGATTCAGCACTTAATACTCATTTTGCATTGCATCTCAAACTTTGTATTTTAGTTCTTCCAAACTTTGTGACTTAATGTCAAATGAGTCCAGGTGTTGTAGTTAATGGGCAAATTGGGTATTTTAATTAAGACACGTCTCTTCAGGTATTCATAGAATCACTTTTAATGCCTAAAGAAATCTTCATTAAATTATAAGACTATTCTTGAAAGATACTCATATGAATGATTCCCTAAATAGAATTCTTGAGGCTAACAAATGCAATACAAATTGTCTGATAGCCTAATCATAATTACTACATTAAGATATTTCCTTGGTTTCTCTCAATATAATTAACAACATGAATTGTCTTGAAGTAAATTTATAAATTTTGGGAAGCAAACTGTGCAGTCTACCATTCTTAATTCAAGATTGATTAAATTCAAACTCTGGTTAGTATGTTTTATTGGGTGCTATGTTTACATTACTCACTTCAAATGATAGTTACAAATAGTTGTCAATAGGGGTGGTGAATTTACTTTTAATAGAATCAGACTAAATAACTGAATCACGAGCACTTGACAATGTGTTTAAGTCCAGCTGCAAGAAATTTATACATTCCCCAAAATTTCATTCCAATTGCCTTTCCCATTAATAAAAATTCTGATCCAACTACAGCATCAGAACTTTATAGTAAAAGGGTATGTGTGCCCTTATTGCCTATCACTAGTTGGCCTGAGAAGATTGTGGTGTGCTTTCTTCTTAAACTGCTGCAGTCCTTGTATTGATGGTGCTCCCTGAAGGTTTTAAGCAAGGAATTCTAGGATTTTGATCCAGAAGTAATGAACAAGAGGGTGGTCTGACCCTGAATTTCTACACAGTTTTCTGCTGTAATTCTGGTTAAAGATCAGAAAAGTTTAGTTCAAAATTCCATTTGTACCATTTCTCATGAGGTTTCAATTATTTACCACCAGAAAACTCTTGTGAAAATTCCAAGCATATATATTTGAGGCAAGTGTGACTGGGCAAGGAACCTGGAGTTGATAGCTTTGTCCTTCTCAGTAGTCATGAACTGCGGAAAGTAGCATATTTAAAATGTTCTCATGTCTTAGGATTTGATTGGTATAATTGTTCATAGATCAGTTGACTAACACACCAGTCATGTTGCCTGTCTAAGTTAATGTTGTAACTGAGGTGACTGTCTAGTTTATTGCTCCAAGTGAGACAGATGTTCATGTATCATAGCTATGTAAAATAATGTGAGTCATCTTCACGGTCACTTGTATATGTTCTCACACTGAGTTCTAATACTTTCAGTAGTGACACATACAACATGAATAAACATGCCCTCTTGGCCTGTGCAGCATAATATTTCCATAAATTGGGTTTTATTTATTTTAACAAAAAATGTTTGTTTATTATATGGTTGTCTGAAGAAAATAATTATCAGAAGTTACTCTAAACAGAATCAAACCATCTTATTGGTTTGGCAATATGTATGAAATCCAAGTGGAGACCATCTTCTTCTAACAGTATATTCTAACAATCATTGGTGTATTGCAGAAATGTACTTAAAAGTTTAAAAGTTATTTAAAATAGTGTAAGGTTCATGTTCAAACACTTAAGTTTCTGTTTTGAGCAGATCAGAAACCTACAGCAATCTGAACATGCGCAAGTTTTAGGGAGCATATTTTAAATACCTATAGTTTATTTTGAACTGCTGCAATGACTGTTGATTGGAATAATATGTTATTCCCAATGTGGAATGTCACAACGGTGTTCTGATTTTAAAGTGTTTTATATCTTTGAATAACATGGGACTATTTCAAAAACCAAGGATATTCTGACAATTCAGTGAACATCAAGAGAATTGCAAATAGTTCTCACTACATGTAGCAAATATCATGGGGGGCATTTTGGATTGGGCACTTTGAATGCTTTACATTTGTTTAAACAGTCTGCATAATTCAATGTGCAAGTCCATTGAAGTTGTAATGCAAGTCTATCAAGTCATCATCCTGCCCCCTCCCGAGGCAATTTAGCCCAGAATTATTTTTGCTTGAGCTTAATATTTGGCTGTTTCTATTAACACTGCCTTGTTTCCATTGAGGAACCAGCAAATGCAGTTTTTGAGGCTCAAAAGAATCAACTGTCAAGCCACAACGCCGAAGGAGGCTGTCTCTTTAGAGTATTGGCAGCACTACATATATTCTACATAATTACATTTGCCACACGTTTTTCTAACTTTTTTTAATGTCTGAAATTATTCCTCAAATGGTTCTCTTCATCCAAGTATATTTCTTTTCTCTTAGGGATCTGATGCCTAAAACACTGGATGGACAAATCACCATGGAGAAAACGCCAAGTTACTTTGTTACCAAGGAAGTAGCTGCCCGAATCTATGCAATGTCCAAAGATGCCAAGCTAATAGTGGTGGTTCGGGATCCTGTCACGCGGGCTATTTCTGACTATACGCAAACTCTCTCAAAGAAACCAGATATCCCCAGTTTTGAGAGCCTAACTTTCAAAAACAGGACTACAGGCCTGATTGACACCTCATGGAGTGCTATTCAGATTGGCATCTATGCCAAGCACTTAGAGAATTGGCTACAGTACTTCCCAATGCATCAGATTCTGTTTGTGAGTGGAGAGAGGCTGATCAGTGACCCAGCAGGTGAACTAGGCAAAGTACAAGATTTTCTGGGTCTGAAGAGAATCATCACAGACAAACATTTCTATTTCAACAAGACCAAGGGCTTCCCCTGCTTGAAGAAGCCAGAGGGCAGCAGCAAGCCCCACTGCCTGGGCAAAACAAAAGGCAGAACCCATCCCAACATTGACCCAGAGGTGGTTCAGAGGCTGAGGGACTTTTACCGGCCTTTCAACATGAAGTTTTACCAAATGACAGGACAGAACTTCGGCTGGGACTAAGGTCAATTTAACCTCATGTAATTACAATAAAGACATGTGAATTTATTGCTATATATATATGTAACTTGTACAGAAATCTATTTTATAATAATTTATTTTTAATTCTTAAGCAATTAATTCACTAAGCTGCCTAACCACACTGTACATAGATCAGCCCATATCTTCTAACATTCCACAGTTTTTAATTGGATTGTTCATTGATGGTGCTGTCATTCATCGATTTTTAAGATTTAATATCCAAAAGCACAACTTTTTGTTACGGGTATTCAGTGTTCATAGGGTCTAACAATTGAGCATTTGACTCCTTGCCTGTCTACATTGGCTTCATGCAGAAAGTTCTTGCTGTGAGTCTGCCAAAAAAGCAAAATGTGATCATATGGTACAAGTCAGCGCAGAGGCTGCACATAACTGTTGAACATAAAATCTTGTTTGCTATATCTTGCTTAAAATCATTGGTTATAATAAATATATTCAAGTCCTCTAATGAATAGCAAATTACCAGTATCTTGCTGCATGAGGCCTTGTTTTGTCTTCTCTAGTTAATCATAAACCCACGTTCTGTTCAGTTCACAGCATGACACTATAGATTATCTCACCTCTCTGCAGAGTTTGTGCAAATTGAGAATCCCCGTACTGATTCCAAATATGCCTGAACTGCTGTCTCTTCCTCCTCATCAATTTATGACTAAAATTGGAAAGACATTCCCCCCTGCCATTGTACTTAGGCATTTATATTGTTCATTTTGATAACTGGATTCTGACCTCTGGATTGAAAATTTTCCTCCTCTCTTTAACCCTAATACCCATAACGCCTAATGACAAGAAAATAGTTACAATCATTTGATGATGACCAGCAGTGAGACTGCCATAATGGCTTTGTATGAGTACTGTAAAAATTGAGTTGTCCAGTACTTTCAGAAGCCATCTCTAATCCTGCAGGCATTCTCATCTCTGTGGTGTTGTCATTACATAGTTAACTTCAAGACTCTACTTGTTTTTACAAAAATGTTAATTAAATTCTGAAAATGTAACATGGTCATGAAATAACAGGGAGAAGTGATGCCCTCAATTCAAAATACAACATGTCATGTTGCTGCCTGAACCAGTTGGTTCAAATCTAAATATTGATTTGCGCCAGAGAAAGGATCGTGCAAGTAGTATCGCAAAGCAGCACAAAATACTTTGGCAACTGGCAATAGGAAAGTTATTTTCAGGATTGAACCTCAACTCAAATTGTGTCCGCGCATTTCATAAGTAATAAAACAGCCTTTACAAAAGCATGACTTATTGTGTGTTCCTGTGGGAATTGACTGTTTTCAAACCTTCACTGGAACTTAGTGTCTTTTTGGGCCTTGAGCAAGAAATTAAAACCACAACAACCATGATGATGAGATCTGCAATGATGTTATTCAAACCCATTTCTGTGTTGTGCTATGAACAATATGCTGCCTTTTTTTGAGAAAGGCGAGCTTCAATCAACATGTTTGTTATTTAGCCTACAACCACACTGATCTATTAAGGTTAGTTAGAATTTTTGTTAATGAACAAAGCACAATTTTTCACATCTTTTTATTTTGATTTTTGTTAAGGTTCTCACTTTGCATGGTATCCTGTTTTAACCCATAGATTCAGGTCTTTGTCTTTTGAAAGTAAAGTTATTTTTGCTTTTAAAAACAGAAAATCTCATCCAAGATGCCACCTTTCAGTAATTACAATTGTTCCTGTACAAAATGGAAGCTATCTGTAACATGCTATGATGTCTAATGCACTGAGGCAGCAGCAAAGTGCTGTATAGCAGTTTTGCCATTAAAATGAATCACATTATCTGTTCAATTCTGCCTAAAGTGTAATATCACAGCATATCCAATCCATTGTCTTCCGAAGGCTAAATTTATACCTTGAAATGGTGGTTAGCTATTGTAATAGTAAATGAGGTTGAGTTTTATTCAGCCTGCATTCAAAAGTATGGATATTAGCAAATTTCTTCTGATAATATTGTACTTTAGAATAGTTAATATGTAAAAAAAAGTAAATCAAGTATTTTGTGGTATGTACAACAGAAATTAATTTTACACAGATAAAATGTTTCTTTCTAGGATATTGAACAAAAGCATACTGTTTCTTATTGTGAAGAAACAAATAAAATATATTTTACCAAACTGATGTTCTTTCTTTTTTCTCAGTAAGAAAATAATTGTTCATAGCCTTAATACTTAAATGGTGCTATCTTTCGGAGACAAGGAATGTCAAATTTTTTGACAATTAGGATTATGGTTCTGACATTTAGATGTGTGCTGTCTCCATTTCAAAGAAGAAAAACCTGAATGAATCTGGCTAAAAAATAACACAATTTATTTTAAAATTATACTGATATTTGTTCAGTATTTCACAGTCAACATCATTATTTCAAAACCACTACAACGGGAACTGAATTCATCTGTAGCTTTACCAATCATCAACAGTTTCCCTACTGAAGAAATTCATAAGTTTTTAAATAAGTTGTGATGAAAACTCAAAAGTTTTTTTTTTATATGGTCATGTTACTTAATGGAGATTACAAGTGGGAGTGTTTGTAAAGTTTATGATGTTCAAAAAAGGAAAGACACACAAAATGAATCATTAATGCTGCATTAATTAGCTGGGCATCTCAACTCTCTGAGAAAGATTGGATCATATTTTACACCTCCCATTTGATATTAATGGAATGGGATGCTTAACAGCCAGCTCACCTAATCTGTTAGTCTAAGGATATAGTTGAATTGATTTCTAGAACAGAATAAAGGAAATGAGGAGAAAGGAGATGGTAAAATTGGCTTCTTTTTTAAAAAAAGAGGTGTTTTTAGCCTGTTGTTAAATATTTTGCTGTTATGGACTGAGGAACGCTATAGGAAGTTAATATTTTATCAAACCATCGACTCAAATACATACCTGTTTTAATTATGTGAAATGTTTTTTGCTCACCTAGAGTTATTGTTTATTCAGAGTTGAGAAATGTCTAGCCTAAAAATGGATGCATTTTGAGCAAGCTAGAACAAACTGGTAGCTGTTTATTTTTCTATGATGAATGATCACAAACAACTTTATTTGATACAGTGTTTTAATAAGTGCTTTAACAGATAAATAATTGTGGAAGATTATGTTTAACAGCATTTCATGCTTTATTCCTCTTTGTGCTATGTGTGTGTAAGTTTGAGGAATTACGGAAATAAACTGTTTGCATCTCGATGAATGTTTACACAAGTATTAATTCAGATCCCTTGCTTTGTCAGGATCAGTGACCCCTCTAAGCCTAATGATGTTATCTACACATTGATTGAAACAGGATAATATGTAAAGTTTGGTCCAATTATATATTAAGTGTTTAAGATAGTGAGGCTCCCTTTGGAGATTTCTTACTTTGTGTTTATTTTGCAATGTTCAGTGTTTATTAACACACTCAGAGACAAATATGTCCTTTTTCTAGTATGCAATTCTTTCACATATGCTATCAATTGCTTGTAATAGGTATTGCAAGGGTCTTCCTGTTTGAGGTAATCAGGGATTGTTCACTGTCATTTGTATGAATGTCTACATATATCTATTTGCAATGCATCTTTAATGTGGAAAATTACAGATTAGGAATATACATCCTCTTAAATATTAAAATAACTTTCAGTTGTCAATGTGTAAAGTCTGTGTATTTTATAAATATTGTTAATTCTTAATGTTGAAATGTTATTGAAGTAAAGTTGGAGAACTGCATTGAACCAAAGATTCTTTTCTTAATTCCGGCTATTTTTGAATAAAACAAAAACAGTTATTAAAATCAGCTTTATTTTGTACTTGATGCAGAAATATTCCCTTTAAAGGGTTAAGATTAGAAAAAAATCTAATTTCTATCAAAAACTGCTGACTTACAGCCAAAGGACAAAATAGGAGTGGTTTTGGAGGTAAGCATGTTTACACTGGTAAGAGTCTGGAAGTTAGATAAATAATTAACAGGTTAGTATTTACTGTAAGGGTGTGACTATAACAATTCATTTGATGGAATTTCCTAACTGTTGTTTGTACATTGACATTTCTTCAGGATTTTAACATTTTTGAAGGTGAGGAGAAAATTAGGTGGTAGAGTTGGTTGACGTATTTTGTGGTTTCTGGGAGTTTGAGTCTGAATTCTGCCTCAAGTATTGGAATGAATTTACCTCCCTGGCTCTAAACACTGTAGCATGAACTTAATTCCCAGTTGCCATACAAACACAGCAATTAATATGTACATTATGAAGTAAACTTGTATTGTTTTGGGGCAGTGTACAGACACTTTAACCCAATTGTTTTCAACTGCATTCTACAGATTCCTAAGCTGGGAATGGCAGGATGCAAGGACAGATGGCTCTGTTGTCAGAAGCAGGCACATATCTCATTGAAGCCTAAGTATTTGACTGTTTTCTTAAGCATTATTAAAACAATTCTTACATGTAGAATGCTTTTACAGTAACAACATTATATGCCAATATAATTTAGATGGGGGTGTATAATTACTGAGTAATTTGAGAAAGGGTCCTTCGAGCAAAGAAATTTGAGGACCAGTACCTAACCAATACTATAACTAATTGGGCAGTGCACAGTGTAAACAAATGTTCACGTTAGGAAATTTTTCCAATTCTCAACATTGGTCTCTTTAGTAGATCCAGGACAAAAAATAGTTATAAAACCACCTGTCATATAATTCCAATTGCACAACAGTAGAATCATGATTTTAAGTTATAGATAATATCGCAGACTACCTTGCCAGTGTAGGGCTACATCTTAATCAAGAATTTCATCAACATTATGTGAGCGAAATAAAACATCATTGTTTTTCTCACTTTGCTCCATGCAATGTATTTTCTTCCAAGAAGAAGGGTCATATTGGACCCTTCTCCACAAACCTCCCAAATGCAGTGAGTTTCTTCAACATTTCCTATGTTTGTTTCAGATTTCTGGCATTTGCATTATTTTGCTTTTATTTTCTTATAATTTTTGATTTATTAGCTATATCCTTTATGGTGTCAGGATTTTATACAAGATTTATCCTGTGACAATGATGGTGGATATATTAAATCTTTGGTGAAGCTTGAGACAAGTTTAACATACAGGGAAGGTTCAGTTCATGATTCACTAATGGTTAAAACTAGAATTTGAGATCATATATTACTTTTTTCAGACATTCTACTAAAAGTTCACAGATATAGAGTGAGAGGAAGTAGGTTCAAAACTGACATGAGGAGAAGCTGCTTCTTTCCGAGGGCTGTAAATCTGTGGAACTCACTGCCCCAGAGTGCAGTGGAGGCAAAATCAATCAACAGATTCAAGAAAGAAATTGATATGTTCCTAATGAAAAGCGGGATAAAGGGCTATGGGGAGCAGGCAGGAAAGTGGAGTTGAGACCAGGATAAGATCATGATTATGTTAAATAGCGAAGCAGACTCAAAGGGCCGAATCGCCTACTCGCACTCCTAATTCCTATGTTGTTATTAGGTTTTTTTACTGTTTAATAACTTCATTCTTAAAGACAATTCTTAAATTAACGCTGTATTGCTTTGGAAGACTGAAGTAAAATTGTATGAAGGCATATTCATATTGAAGACTTAATACTCAAGATCAAAAAAACAAAAGATTAGAAAGCTACCGCTAGTCACGTGATGCCTGTTACCTCAGACACCATCCATAGCGTGTGTTGCTTGCCATTCATCTGCATTGTGTCCACTTGCAAAAAAATGATAAGAGGAATGAAAAAAGAAGTTCACCAAAAATGAATGCAAGTTTAGAATGCAGAATAATGACCGAAACAAAGGCATAGAGCAGGAAAATAAAGAAACAGAGTGTGAGTTGAAAGTACATTTGCACCCCCCCCCACCTCAATTTGTAATCTCAATCACTCAAGACAGATAGAAATAGCAATCTGTAACAAACTCAGAGAATACTGGAGAAATGTTATAGGTCTGGCAACATCTGTGGAGAGAGAAACAGAGTGAACATTTCGAGGCTGGTATGACTTTATTTCAATCTGTTATGTTTCAAAATGTGAAAATGTATTTCCAAACAGTGAAAAGCCCTAGGCAATACCCAAATCTGCTTTTGAATGTACTAAATTTGGCAATAACCCAGGAGTTATGAGTATTTGGCAATCTCCGGATACTTTTCTCAGTAATTAGTTTTAAATCGGCTTCTGAATACACATACTTGGACCATTATGTTAACATGAGTATTGTGGCTGCTCAGACACTGACCAGTTGAGTTTCCTGAACTTCTTTGTCTCAGAATCGTTGCAGGATTACTTGTACCTTGGATGGTCTTATTCATGTGTGGAGTTGACTCACCCTGGGGTATATGTTACCAGCTGTTTAGTGGTCTGGATTATTTTCTTCCCAGAAATGATTTGAGTGAGAAGTTTGAAAAGTAAATAGTCCCACTTAACCCTCTTTCCCATTATTGAAAATAGAATTTGATACAAAGTAAATTTGAACATCAGTCTTGAATAACACTGTAGCCTTGATCAAAAATAGCCACGCTATGGTCAGCAGTGAAAGGATAATATAATGTCTTCTGGTTCTCATTTATTAGAAATAAGTAAACTTAAGAATTGGAAAGGTTGGAGATCTTTGTGTTTGTCAGTGTTTTGCCATGCTCCCTCTAACAGATTGCCTCACAGTGCCAGGGACTTGGGTTTGATTCCACCTTCAGGTGACTTCTGTGTGGAGTTTGCACATTGTGTCCATGTCTGTGTGGATTTCTTCCGGGTGCTCCGGTTTCCTCTCACAGCCCAAAGATGTGCAGGTTAAGGTGGATTGCCCGTGTTAAATTGTCCATAGTGTCCAGGGATGTGTAGGTTATTTGGATTAGTCATGGAGAATGCAGGTTTACAGGGATAGGGTAGAGGGTGGGTCTGGGTGAGATGTTCTTCAGAGGCTTGGTGTGGGCTCAATGGACTGAATGGCCTGCTTCCACACTATAGGGATTCTATGATTCTGTGATGGGAATGCTACATTATATAGGTGTCCTGTTACCTGTCCTCTGACACTGTAGCGCAGCTGTGAATGCAGCTCCTGGAACACTTACATATGACAGTTCGTTCTTTGTTAATTGGTTCCCAATGCTTTGCAGATAATACAATAATATAAAACATCTCTCTCTTTCTTCA